TGGACAAGTGGAAATGAAAAAATTGATGATTTCATTCAAGAAAAGCAATTAGAAGTTATTAATTATGATGATATAGTGCCTGAATGGATTCCATACAATCAGTTTAATGAAATTAAGGAGACAGGAAAAAATGGTCTTATAGCAGTATATTCAGCAATATGGAAGGATGGTCCATTATACAAAAAGGATGAACAGAGCAATTATGCAAGAGATTCAAATAAAAAAGTTACATTAAAATGTTTACAAAATTCACAAAAATCCATTGATTCTTTAATAGCTGAGGTATGAAATTTCTTAAAATATTTAAATAATTTTTTTAATTAGTATATTTACGATCAATCTCTTATTCATATTTAGGCTAAAAAATATCCAACAAATCATAAAGCATTTCAAGTATTGTATGGATTATCTCAAAATCAAGATACAGGAGAGTATATTTTTGTTCTTATGTGGACAAGTGGAAGTGAAAAAATTGATGATTTCATTCAAGAAAGACAATTAAAAATTAGTAACCATGATAATATAGTGTTTGAATGGATACCATACATTCAGTTTAATGAAATTAAGGAGATAGGCAAAAATGGTCTTATAGCAGTATATTCAGCAATATGGAAGGATGGTCCATTACATAAGATTAATGTATGGGACGAAAATTATACAAGAGATCCAAATAAAAAAGTTACATTAAAATGTTTACAAAATTCACAAAAATCCATTGATTCTTTAATAGCTGAGGTATGAAATTTATTCAAATATTTAATTACTTTTTTTAATTGGTATATTTATGATCAATCTCTTATTTATATTTAGGCTAAAAAATATCCAACAAAACATAAAGAATTTCAAGTATTGTATGGAATATCTCAAAATCCAGATACAAATGATTTTATTTTAGTTTTAAATAATCATTTCCAGAGAAGTGGAAATGAAAAAATTGATGATTTCATTCAAGAAAGGCAATTGATTATTAATAATTATGATGATATTGTGTTTGAATGGATATTATACAATCAGTTTAATAAAATTAAAGAAATAAGCAAAAATAGTCTTATAACAGCATATTCAGCAACATGGATTAATGGTCCGCTGTTTTATAGCTATAAGTATAGAAATTATACAAGAGATTCAAATAAAGAAGTTGTCTTAAAATATTTACACAGCTCACAAAATTCCATTAAATCCCTAATAAATGAGGTATGATATTTCTTTAAAATAATTAATATCTTTCTTTAATTGGTATGTTTACAATGTTTTTTATTTATACTTAGGCTAAAAAATATCCATCAAAACATGAAACAATTCAAGCATTGTATGGAATTACTCAAAATCCAGATACAGGAATCTATCTTTTAGTTCAGAATAATCATAATGTATGGATAAGTGAAAATGAAAAAATTGATGATCTTATTCAAGAAATGCAATTAAAAATAAATAATTATAGTGACATAGTATTTGAATGGATACCATATAATCAGTTCAATAATACTAAGGAAGTAGGTAAAGGTGGCTTTGCTATAGTTTATTCTGCAAATTGGAAAAATGGTCCATTAGAATATGATGCAGATAAAAAAATATATAAAAGGAATCCAAATAGAGTAATTGCCTTAAAATATTTGTATAATTCACAAAATATTAGTGATAAATTTTTAAATGAGGTATGAATTTCTTTTAAAATTGTTTATAAATTCTTGAAACTTTAATTATGTAAATAATTATTTTTTATTATTTATAATTTTTATTAGGTTAAAAAATACTCAATAAATAAAACAAGCAATATTCTTAATATATATGGAATATCTCAAAATCCAGATACAAAAGAATATATTATGGTTCTCCAATATGCAAAAGAAGGCAACTTTAATCATTGGATAAATAAAAACTATGAATATTTTAATTGGAGAGATAAACTATCTGCATTGCTTAATATTATTAATGGTCTTAGAGAAATTCATCAAAAAAGTATAGTTCATCGTGATTTTCATACTGGAAATATATTATTTTTAAGTGAGATATATAATTTTGGTAATTGTATATCAATTTCAGACATGGGATTATGTGGAGAGGTTGGTAATATAGATGAAAATAAAATTTATGGAGTTATGCCTTATGTGGCTCCTGAAGTATTAAGAAGAAAGCCTTATATCCAAGAATCAGATATTTTTAGTTTTGGTATGGTAATGTATTTTGTAGCTACTGGAAGACAACCTTTTTACAATCGTGCACATGATCATCTTCTTGCATTAGACATTTGTAAAGGAGTTAGACCTGAAATAAATGAACCAGAAGCACCAAGATGTTATATTGATTTAATGAAAAAGTGTTGCGATTTAAATCCAAATAATAGACCAAATATTTTCAAAGTAAATGAATTGATCATGTCATTTCATAAGTCATATGGAATGGATTTTTTCATAGTAGAAAATGAAGAAATTGGAATACAATTCAAAAAAGCAGAAGAATATAGAAAAGCAAATCTTTCATTCATTAAAAATTACCAAATAGAAACCCATCCACAAGCTATTTACACATCTCGGTTACTTAATCCTTTTACAGAAGATCTTCCAGAACATGATGATGATAATACTCAATGCTTAGATCAAGTAATCTAAATCCATATGAAACACATTATAATAAGGTTTATATAGAATGGATATAAATTCTTCACTTGATTTATATATTTATATAGCCGTTACTTTATAGGAATTTCTAATTGATTTGTAGTTTTGCCCAACGGCCAATACTGTATAGATACTAGTATGTAAGTTTTTTTAAAAATCAGTTTGTAATTGGATATATTGTATACAATATTTTCTTTGATATAATAAACATATGCTTGAATTATGTGATATTAACAATGAAATAATTCCTTATATAAATTATATATGTGAATTTGTTGGTACATTCGTACTATTTGCTTATTTTATTTAATTGTAAAATAAAACTTTCCATTACTCATATATAATAAAGTGTTCCGAACGGATCGGGTCAATTCGGGTGACCCGTCGGGTTGACTCGAAAAGCTTCCTTCCCTGGCTAAACCTTCTATAGTCCTTCATTACATTTTGAACTAATAATGCTATAATTTTAACTTTAAACACATTTCATTAATGAAAATAACAAATATTTAAATTTAGAACGTTAAAAGTTTGTTTGAGATCAAACTTTTTAATAGTAATCAAAAATAAATAAATAAATAAGGTATCATTTTTTTTATTAATGCTTAATAACGAACATGCTTCACTTCGAAATATGACAACTACGGTATATATAAGTGCATTTTAATTTATGTGTTATGTGTGTTTGCGTCACAATTCCAATTTCATTTGAGTAAACGGTCTTACAAATTTCGGAGCTGAGCCCTTGAACATAAGCTCTTGGCCTTATAAGCATATATCACGGCCATAATTTCCTTTTTATGTTAGTTGCTTTTTTATAAATATTTTCATATGTTCTTTTTTTTTCTTATTTTTCCTATATTAATTACTTTATTATAAATAAAACCTTGTATTATTTATATTATTTCATATGATTTTGATTTTTAATCACTTCAGATTATTTGTCTATTTCTAATATTAATTCAATATTACTTTACTTCATTGTCTTTCTTTTATCTTAATCATTCCATTTAAAATCTCTATCATGCATTATGATTGCTTGATCATTATCTTAATAATCTCATATGTATTCCCAAGTCCCCAAGTCCCCATTTCTTGTTTATATCTTACGCATAGATTTGAAATTTATGTCATATATACTCTTCTACCATAAAATTAGCAGCATTCTTTATGACATTTAGATTATATGTTCATAAATTGGTATAATTCGTACTTATAAATTTTATATTTATTTACATCATTTTGTATAAATTCTAGTGTCTTATACAATTTATTATATAAATAAATTATTTATAAATATTGATTTAATATTGTTTGGCTTATTTACTTAAAAAACGGATTTCAAATTTATAAAATTTTTATGGATAAAAAAAAATTTTTTCATAATAAATAAATAAATCATATAATACTTATAAAATAAAAAGCAAATTTTAATTATTTAATTTTGATAATATACAAATAATTTATATGATATTCATTCTTATAAATAATCAATTTTCTTTAATAAATTATAAACATCAAAAGCTAAAGATAAATCATGATAATTTAAAACTTTAATATTATATAAATTAAATTCCTTCACCTCATATTTCAAACGAGACAAATCACCATTTTTAAAATCCCAAATTGCTAAATACTTGACTCTTTTCTCCTTCATAATATATTCCTTTACATTATTTAAAATATTATCACTACTGGTTTGCATTATTTTTAATTTATTAATAAAAATATTGTGAGAATTTTCTAAAAATATTCTAAAATCATTTTCTTTAATATTAAAAACCAAACTTAAGTATTCAAGTTTAGAAGGGAGAGTTTGACCCAAATTTTGTAATAAGATTGAAATATTATCATTTGATAAATAAACATCATCACATAAATTGATTGAAAGATATTTAAGATTTTGTTTAATATTTTCAATTAAATTGGGTATATTGAATGTTTGATAAAAAATATGACTTTCAGATCCAAAAAAATTAAGAAATTTGATATTCTCACAATATTTTATAATTAAATCTAATAATTGTCGATTTTGTGATAGATTTGATAGAATTCCAAGTGTATAACCGAAATTTTCTAAATAATCACCAGATTTTTGTAATAATAATTGTAATGAATTATCAATCTGTGATAACTCATTTATAATTAAAGATTTTAATTTAAATGGTTTAGTTAAATTATTAAATTGATCAAAACCATTTTTTAAAGAATAACAATGAATTATATGAACAGATTCTAAAACATTTAATTGTTCAAATATCTTATCTAAATTGATTACAACTTTAAAATCGATATTATAAAATGTAATTGTATTTAAAGTATTTGAACAATTAGAAACTTTTGATAATAATAATGATTGACATAAAGGAAAATTATCATGATAAAATGAAATTTTTTTGAGATTTTGATGTAAATTAATTATTTGTGATATACGATTTTTAATTAACATATATTCATTATTAATAATATCATATGAAAATCTAATTGAACTATTAACATAAAGATTTAAATTACTAATATTGTGAATGAAATTTGTATTTTGTAAAATTATTTCAAGAATATCATTGAAATATGTATAATAATAAATACTTGAGATCTCAATTTCAAGAGTATGTAAATTTACTTCATTTTCAATAAATATTTTAAATAATGATATACCAATCAATCTTTTAAAATCAGTTGCTGAAAAATCATTATTTCCTGGTTCTGATTTTTTAATAGTAAACCACATCCCAACACAAGAAATAATATCAAATATATTTAAATATTTTAAAAATTTAACATAATTAAATAGTGTATTTGAAGGTAATGAATTATTATTAATTATGTGTTGATTTAATTTTGATTTTAAATCATCATCATTTAAATTATGTAAATAAATTCCAATAAAATTACAAATTACGGTACGAAATGAAAATGGGTCTTCCCATAATAATGGAATCGCTAAACGACACCATAATCTGTTAACTAAAATGCATGAATGTAAAGTTGATTTATCATTCCTAAAATATTTTATAACTTCATATGTTAATTCAGGTAAATCTCCTGAAAATATTTTTGAACATGACATTGTAATTTGAAAAGGTAAGTATATAAGATAACGAATTGAAAGTGGAAGGGGAGATAACGTATTTTATTATGACGGATTGCGGGATTTGATAAATTATATTTATTTTCGGAGCGAATTTCCGATTTTATTTTTATTTTATTTTTATAATGAAGATGAGAAGCGAATTTCCGATCTTATTTTTATTTTTTTTTATAATGAAAAACAGAAAGCAAATTCCGATATTGTCGCACATTCTATGTTGCGTAACGTTTTAATGCACCCCCTGATTGCACGGTTTCAAATGATCATGTAAAATTTATTTATACAGTTTACAGTATGATCGACATCGTGTATGAATAAAAACTGCGCCACAAAGCGGAGCTGTAATAATTAGGCGCAAAAGAACTCAAAATTGTATATTCTGTTATTTAAGAAATTAAAAGGGGAAACAAAATAAATAAACTTTTTTTTATATAATTTCATTATAAAAAATATTATTATATCATTAGTGATTAGTCCAACGCTCATATTCACATTAAATCTGATAGATAAATATGACCCTCTTTTAAAAAAAGATCCAGAAAATCCATTAGTCATAAAAAAAATTTCCAAATTTCAACTCTTCAAGTTAGATACAAATTGATCTGTGAAAAATAACAAAAATCTAACTACCTTAAAAAATTATCTCTTTTCACGCAGAGGTTCGTAAAAGTAAAAAAATTACCATATTCTAGTAATTCATAATTCATGTTTTTATTATCACTAAATTAGGAGATGTTGAAAATTTTTTCTATAATAAATTTGCTTATTATTGCGTTGCTTTTACAGATTTATTAATCATCAAGAATACTTACTGATGTATTTAGTGTAAATTGAAAATTTTCTAAGGTTTTCTGATTGTTGGTTAAAAATTTTAAAGAGAAATAATATTAATAATATTGGAAAATATCATTCACATGATAAATCAGGAAGTGCGCCAATGTGACCTTTAAGTTATTAGCAGAAAAAATAAACTTTTCAATTTCTATGTTTTAAATTAATTTCTTTATTGAATTTATGAAATTGATGATACAACTGAACGTCCTTATTATAGAATGTTGTCAAATCGATACTTTTATCTAGGTAAATTCTTAGCCAAAAATTGGAGAAGACTTTTATAGCTGCTCTTCTTGGTACTAATGCAATTGGAACAGATAAATTTAACAGTAGTTAATCGATAATTCTAGACTTCCAAGATCTCTCTCCAGTACATTATATGGAAATCAAAAGGTATAGATGATTTTGAAAATGTAATTTTTTTATAATTAATATAATTTTTTAATTATTATTTTATAATTTTATTGAGTACATCTAGAAATTTCTTGCATCAAAAGTAAAATAATAATTTATCTATATTATACGACATTGAAAAAAAATCTTGTTGGGGATCCAAAAGGTGGTTTAGCTTGCTTTCTGTTCATCAAAATGGGAAACTATCTGAAACTCTTTGAAACTTTCGGATATTTCTTTGGGCTAATCAGATCACTCATCAGTCTATCAATAAAAAGCCTATGCTACAGTTTGTACACTAGTATAATTCTTATTACAAAACTCTTTTATACATGATACAAGCAATTTACAAATAATTATTTTTCGAAATAATTATTAACGTCCAATATCTGATTGCCATATTTTTAATAATATTCTTATATTTCCAAGCTATTAATTTAGAGTAGCGCAGCTTATTCCAATTTTGGGCTGTGTAGAAAAACGTGGCAAACATACTATAATTGAAATCAGCCCCAAAATCTTAATGGCCTACCGGCTAATAACCGGTTAAACTTATATATTCTATAAGATCTTTGTCATGATGAATTAATTTTGGCTGATTAGACTATTTGATCATAAAATTTTTTTTTTAACGAATACTAAACTTTAACCAGTTAAACAAATCTATAACCAGTAAACCAGCTCTAACCTTAATTGGTAATTATATGGCTTTCAAATGATGCAATTATAAATAAAAAAAGTAATTTTGAAGTACGTGTTATCAAATTATTTTTTTTAAAAATTATCTTATAAAATGGTTCGAGGCGAGGAAGAGTAAAAAAAAAAAATTTTGAAATTCACGAACAACGAACCAAAAAATATTTACCACATAAAAATCAAAGTCAAAAAAAATTTTTTTTGGAACCATGCATTTAAAATATTTGTTATTAATCTTTGCCTTTATTATTGTTTCGACAGGTAATATACTGGTAATATACAGTTTTTTACTTAATTTTTTATTGACGTTAATATTGATTTATTTATCAAATTAATTAAATATTAAAACCTTTTTTATAAATAATATAGTAGCTTTACCTGTAAAACGAGAAGGTAATTATTTCAATAAAAATTAATATCTTTACATGTTAATATGTATAACATCATTTTCTCTTGTGCAGCGGGTAAACGTACTGGACATGGAACTGATGAATGAACGTGACTCTGGTCTGTAAACGAGTTCCTCGTAACGTTAAATGATATAAAAATTACATATTTTATTGCAAAAAATTTAATGTATAAAATTTGTTTATAAGTTTATTTTTGAAATAAATATTAATTATCCAAAAATGAATTTTTTGAAATGAAGTTCGAGTTAAACTATTTTTGCCATTAAAATAAAGTTAAAAAAAAAAAAAATAGAAGCCTTGAAGTTTATTTTTTTATAAAATTTGATTCTGTTATTAAGTGTGTTTTTGAAAAATTATTTCTTATAGCTATCATATATAACAGATCATATATAACAGATAAAGATGATATTGCGTCTGGATAAAAAAATTCTTTTGCTGTGTTTATTACTTTCATCAAAAATTTATCTATAATGATAAATACTTTATTAGACCAACAATTTTACAGATGATATAAATCTATTTTACTGTATCATATTTTTAACGTGGCGCAATTTAGAAACGTGGTAAAATACTTTTTATACGAACATACATAATTAACAGAATACATAGCGGTGACGTCAGACAACGAAAACCCTATCCTACTATCCTATCTAATATAAATAAAAAAACTAAACTTGCCATCCAAAAAATAAAAACTAAATATTAAAGAAAAAAAAACAAAAACTATAAACGACAACAAATGCCACTCAGAAAAGAAAAAAAAAACATAACTAGTCTGCGAACTACAACTAGTGGGCGCTCATACCCGGTTGTCGTAACAATATTATAGACAAACTTCAACTATTACACCAACTTCTACAAACCAAAGTGTCTTTAATAACTTTGGACTTAATCGTACTAAGGGAGCTCCTAAAGCTTCAAATTTTATTTCCACTTCCGAAATACAACAATCTTCGAGAATTTTTTTACCAACAAACTTATATTCCACCGCAAAGTGGTCATGAACATATAGAAATCGCAAAAGTTCTAGTAAAGGAGTATTTGCTGATAATTATTCACTTAATGTTATACCAGTTGAAGAAAATAATTTATTTATGAATGAAATTTCGTATAATACAAATAAATATTGATGCATATGCAAAAATGGTAATTTATCTAAAATGAATCATGATGGTGATTAATTCTCTTAAAATAAGATTATCGTTTGAAACATTTGATAATAATGCAAGTGTACAATGGTTTATTAAACCATTTACCTACGATGAAAAATCAAGCTCCATCTTGAATTTAATTTAGTTTTTAGTTTGAGCCACATACAATACATAGGCATGTAGTAAATGCGATTAAAGGTTTTACTCAATTCGTTAAAACTGTGGATATATATCATATTAAAGGTTCGTTTGAGTGGTGGCGAAAAAAGTCATGTTAATATATCTAATATGGCAAAAATCTCCATCATTTAGACAAGATTGGAAGAGTAAATTAGCCAGCAGAGATATGTTAGTTTGTTGAAATAATGACACTTTTGGCTTGGATGTAAAATAGAATTAAGGTCTGATATTATTGTTGGTCCTTTACCAATCTATGAATTGAATACTTCAAAAGAATCATGTGTTTTAAATGATGGATCAATAAGCGATTTTGTTATCCATTATAAAGTTTCATCTGTTCATAATACAAGGAATTTTTTATGCTCATTCTTAAGGTATACCAGATTATTTTAACGCATTATTGGAATCGAAAATGATTGAATCCCAAAATAAATCACCCACTTTAACTGATAGTGATATTACAAAACTTTAGAAATTATTTTTAGTTATATGCAATGAATTTACAAGCATAATCTATATAAACGATGAAAATGTATAATGTGTATAATAAAATTTTAAATAATAAAGGAAGTAGCATAATTTAACGATTAAAGAATATTTCTATTTTAGCGAATAATAAGTTAATTCTGTGCATTGATATTAAATGGACTTAATTCTTCACATTTATTTATATCTTAATAAGAGTATCCGATAAGGCAACGCTATTTTTATTTAATTTTCTAGCGTAACAACTAGTTAATTGCGTATTCCAAAAAAATTACATTTTTAGATTAATAAATTATTTAATTTTTTATGAAAGAATGATTATTAATTTTTTATATTATCTAATTTATATGATTATATATTTGTTTTGTCATAGAAATGATTATCGGATCAAATTGTTTTATGACATAATTCTATGGCAATTCGCATGATCTTATTTTTTGATTTTTTTTTATTAATAAATGAAAAAGTATTAAAAGACCTTTGATATGATAGGTGGTGGGGCCTTGGTGTTTAAATTCAGCATTAAGAAACGAACAGAATGAACAAAATGTTAATGTTAACGTTAACATTGACATTTTAAATATTAACAATAAAATTTGTTCTCGTCGGCTTTCCTTTTTCGGATGCAGTTAATTATTTCGTTATGCTTACATAATACATTTATTATGTTTCAAAATTGACTATTCCTTTTTTAATGCATTGTACTCCTCTAACGGTTAACTAACCTTCAGTGTTTTTAATGATAAGGGTAGCTTCAGGGAGAATTTAAGTAAAAATTGTAATTTGCCAAATTGAATAAAATTTAATTGCCAATCAGAATCATGTGTTT